GGCCTAAATAATTTCCAATACTACTGTTGATGATAATAGATCCTGCATTACCCATGATAAGGACAATACCATAATTCGCATAGTGTAGGGTCCTTAACGTAATGCAGGAGGAATACTATCAAAAGTTATGTTGCCAGAAGTAGCTTCGCTAGTACTTGTACTACGACGATGATGGTACGCAGATTTTGCCATTCTTGTCAAACATCATGCTGAGGTGATGGCTTCAGATGAGACTTATTCGATTGACAAAGCCCCAGCCGGACGCCTCACAACCCAACCCCGAATTCTAGCTCAAAGCCCTAAACCCTGAACCCTAAAACCCTAAACCCTAAACCCTAAACCCTAAACCCTAAAACCCTAAACCCCCCAAAAAACTAAAGCTCCATACCTTCAAGCTTCGGGGGCCGGTCGACTCTCGGCCTCTCAGAGCCTCAGCGGTGGGGATCGGCGACCTTAGCCGCGCTTCTTCACCTAGAGCCTGCATCACTAGACGGTTTAGGGTTTAGGGGTTTAGGGATTTAGGGGTTTAGGGTTTAGGGTTTAGGGTTTAGGGTTTAGGGTTAAGGGACTAGACTCATGATATGGTTCGTTACTTATAGTATTAGTAAGCTGAGTACTCCATTATCTTTAATTAGCATCTGTAGTTTTTCAGCGTAGTACTCTATACTATCTTTGATCAGTATCTGTACTTCTAGTATTGCACGCTAACGGTGTGTCAAAGCGAGTTGAGAGCAAGACTGGAGTTCGCCAGAGGGTAGTATAGGAGCCTGAATAATTGGACTAGGGTTTTGGGGCCCATTCTACTATATTTATAGTAAGGAACCCCCAAAATAGTATAAATAGTATAGGTAATTATTTAGGCCCCTACAGTATGCAGACAAAGAGTTTGGTTGACCCCAACCCTTCGATAGGACATGGCCCGTCTTCGTGAAGACCCACTCTAGCCTCCAATACGTAGAAATTCGGGACCCAAACCCTTTAAAACTTCTACAAAATCCTAACAGCCCCAAACCCGAAACCCGTAAGAACGACATTCTATAAATCCCAAAAGCCTTTAACCCGAAACCCTTAAGAACGAAATAACTAGAAATCGGTGCACGGAGAATGGCCAAGGGGAGGAGGCCGGAGGTTCAGAAATCGGCACTTACGTTCAAGGCTTAGGGTTTAGGGTTTAGGGTTTAGGAATCGGGAAGACTATGCGGCTTGCTTAGTCCTGTAGTGGCTTAACATAGAAGCCTCAATAATTACCTATATTATTTTGGGGGCTCCTTATTATAACTATACTATAAGGGACCCCCAAACCCTATTCCAATCATTAAGGCCGCTACATTAGTGCTTCATGCTTGTGGCTGGGATTTCTAACCAAGTTGTAAGTCCTACTTAGTGTGGATACCTGATCAATCAACATAGTTTCTGTAAGGCCCATCGCAGTATGATCTTTAATATGACCGTCATATGGGAGTGGGGTTTGCGGAACACGTTTCCAATGCCGGCGCCACTAAACCCTAAACCCTCAACCCTAAACCCTAAACCCTAAACCTTGCGGCTTTCTGGCTCAAGAAAAGCGTTCCGCATAATGTTTATCCTGCTCGTCGCCTAGGGCAGGGTGGCAATGCCGGGCCCGCCGTCGGATAATTTGTTCGTGCCCCTCGCCAAGAAAGCTTCGAAGCTAGGGTTTAGGGTCTAGAGTTTTGGGGTTCAGGGCTTCGGGCTTAGGGATTTCTGGTGCTAGCAGGGTTTAGGCTTAGGGTTTAGGGATTTCTGGCAACCCTAAACCCTAAACCCTGTATTGACTGAAGACCAACAAGCTTGAATCTGAGGTTGAAACTGTGGGCCCCTACTATGTACCTTTAAGGGTCCCTAGAAAGGCCCAAGGGTCCCTGTAAGGGGCCCATACTTCTGCCCTTAGATTGAAGCGGAGACCCAGCACCCAAGCCCAATGCCCACAAAAGCCCGTAATTTGTCCGCAGACACCAAGCCCAAGAAGCCTAAGCCCTGAAACCCTATAGTATCCTTGTAGCACGGCCGTGCCCTTAAAGGAGTCCTTTATAGAAGGATGATATACACTCCGAAAATACCAGCAAAAACGTCATATCCCTAGACCCTGAGCCCTAGAACCCCAATTTTAGGTCGGGGCTCCCGATCGACTGCACCCTGGAGCAGGTGGGTAATCTCTAAGCCCCAGGCGGTTTAGGGTTTAGAATGTGAGAGTTAGGGATTAGGGTGTTTCAAATGAGGTAGGGTTTAGGGAATTAGGGTTTAGGTTGGTAAGAATTTAGGATGTAGGATCTTATAGTATTATAAGTATCCCTATGGGGCCGGGATACTCTTTCAAACTATTCGTCAACATTTTACGACCTGTAAGACACCCTTACACTTAGGGTTTGGGGGTTAGGGAGTTTGGGGTTTTTGGGTTCAGGGGTTTCGGGTGTTGGTTTAGGGCTACAGTGTTTGGGAGTTGAGGGTTTCAGGTTTAGGGTTCAAAGGGCTTCAGGTGTGTACGGTTCAGGGTGCAGGCTTAAGCTTTAACGACCCAATACCGCAGCTCCGACACTCCTACATATCTTCTTTGGGCAGAAACGGAAGCCGCTTCAAGTCGAACTGCCGAAGAATGCCATAAGATTCCTACAACGCCTGAAGGCCCTCGTTAAAGGCCCTAAACCCTAAACCCTAAACCCTAAACCCTGAACCCTTCGACACCACTCCGAGCAGGTGAAGGCGGTTTTCGGCCAGTATGGTACCGTCAAAGAAGCCAAGGTCCCTCCTGGTCACGTTTGGGGTGTAGGTTGTGTTAGGGGGCTGTATTGGGCCTATTATATAATGCATGTCGTACACAAGAATGTATGAGTATCTACATTTATAGTCATGGTTATTGTTCTTCTTCTTCTCATCATTCTGATTGTGATCTGTTTGTTTTAAGGTGCTGAGAGCGTAGCTTTCTTGCTTAGTGGTTTCCCTTGTTTTCGCGGCTTAGGGTATAGAGCTTTTCGACTCAGGGTTTCAGGTTTGAGGTTTACCGCTTGCAGCCTAAACCCTAAACCCTAAACCCTCAACCCTCAACCCTAAACCCTCAACCCTAAACCCTAAACCCTAAACCCTAAACCCTAAACCCTAAGCCCATTCGGCTTTGGTTTTGAGCCGAGGTCCTCCCGGTCACACCTGGCAAGACCGCCGCCGCGGCGTTCGTGAACATGGGCAGCGTGTCCGAAGCAACCTGGATCCTAGAGAACGTGAGTGGCAACGTTCCGCAGAATCTCACCGGTCCGGTGAACATCTCTTATGCCTTGCCCAAGTCAGAGAAAGGATTCGGTAAGGGGAAAGGCATGGCGGACTTCATGTCGATGATGATGGGTGCCTTTGGAGGGGATGGCGGAGGTTGGGGCGGTGGCGGTGGTGGCGGTGGAGGCTGGGACAGCAGCGGCTGGGACAGCGGCTACGACAAGGGCAAGGGCAAGGGCAAGGGCTGGGATAGTGGTGGCGGCAAGGGCTGGGATGGCGGCGGCAAGGGTTGGGATAGCGGCGCCAAGGGCTGGGACAGCGGGAGCAAGGGCTGGGATGGTGGCGGCAAGGGCTGGGATGGTGGCGGCAAGGGCTGGGACAGCAGCGGTGGCAAGGGCTGGGACAGCAGCGGTGGCAAGGGCTGGGACAGCAGTGGCTGGGGCAAGGCAGGTGGAAAGGGCAAGGTTGCTCCCGATCCAATCGCTGCGGTAGCCAAATTTGCTCAGGAGTCCTGGGAGAAGAAGGGCGGCAAGGGCAAGGACGCCACAAGTACGAGTGGAAGCCCCTGGACGGTCACGAAGGTCGGTAGTGGCAAAGGTGTCATGGACTCTTGTGCCCATGGAGCGGAAACGTATGGCGGCTGGTCCATGCCATGCTGTAGTCCCTGGTAGTTCACCTTGCTTATTGTGCTTGGAGTTACGTAGACACACATACATGTTTCTATATAGCTACACATAAACCAGCGAGATGTTAACTGTTGGGCTCTGTGAGCACCGGTTTCAGTGCTTGTAGTTTTGGAGCCTAGGAACCAGATGCGTTTCCTATCAATCAGCCTCCGCTGCACGGATGAGGGGTGTGTGCGTGTGCTGGACGCGCGAGCCAGCCAGCGGGAGCAGAGCGGAAACACAAGGCTCTAAATTAAAATATGCGAGAGTGGGGTCAAACAAAAGCGTGGTAGTCGAGAAGATACCCTTTACGGGTGGCTTAGGCTTAACCCCTGCACAGCGTAAGCAGATTCGATTTTATTTCCCCTATGCAGCTGGGTAAGTAAGAAAACAGCAGAGACAGATTAAATAGACCATGGAAGCAGCTGTTTAAAACCCACTACTGTAGTTTCCCCCGTTCTCCCGGAATCTTATACGATCTACGAGGAACCCTGGACCCCAAAGCCCTAAACCCTGAACCCTAAAATTTAATCCTAAACCCTGAACCCTAAAGCCCGAAACCCTCAACCCTAAACCCCCTAAAACCCGAAAGCCTAAAGCCCTAAAGCCAATCCCTAACCCCTGACTAAAGCCTTAAAGACCTGAACCCGATTGCTGCCACCTCGGGGTTATTTGTTTAGGGTTTAGGGTTTCCGAGAATTTTACGTGTAGGGTTTAGAGTTTAGGATTTCGGTTTAGGGTTTAGGGTTTACGGTGACGTCCAGCTGCTCCCGCCGCACCCCCGAGGCGTCCAACCGCTCAGCGAAGCTGCAAAACGGTGTGGGCTTTAGGGGTTTAATATAGGGGCCTTAATAATTACTTCTCATATTTTGGGGAGTCCCTATTATAATTACAGTATAATATACCCCAAACCCCTATTCTAATTATTAAGGCCTCTATATTAGGAGGATCGAGGGTGGAGGGTTTGGGAGTTTGGGGGTCGGGTGAAAATTTACTACCACGACTTTTTACCGAGACCGTTTCCGGCAACACCCGCCACACCAGTATCGGTTCAGCGTTTAGGGTTTCGGGATTGAGGGCTTTAGGACCATCCCCTGTATCCGGCATCTCGCACGGCTGCCTCGGCTTGCTGAACCCGGCCACTCTTCACCATACCTGGAGGGTAGGGGGGGACGTAGTAGGTAGTTATTTTACAGACTTACAAGTAGCATAACCCCAATTAGGGTCCCCCTTTTGGGACATTATAACTCTACTTGTTACCTACTTACTAAGTCCCCTGACCCTCTAAGTAAGTCCTGGAGCCCTAAATCCCAAACCCATGGAGCTGAAAGCTCTCCATCCTAAAGCCCCGAACTTCACCCCTCAGCCCTTAAACCCTAAACCCTAAACCCTAAAATCCTAAACCCAAAGCCCTAAACCCAAAACCCGAAACACCAAAACCCTAAGCCCTAAACCCTAAACCCGAAACACCAAAACCCTAAGCCCTAAACCCTAAACCCGAAACACCAAAACCCCGAAGTCCAACACCCTGAACCCCAAGGCCCGTCACCCCAAGGCCCTCAAGCTCAAAGCCCTCAAGCCTGAAAGCCTTAACCTTGGTTAGGGTTTAGGGTTTAGGGTTTAGGGTTTAGGGTTTAGGGGCTTGGGTTTAAGGTTTAGGGTTTAGGGTTTAGGGCTTGGGTTTAAGGTTTAGGGTGTAGGGTTTAGGGTTAAGCTTTAGAGCACTTAACATGCACTCTGAGACCTTGATCCTTGTCGACGACCCTGACGCAAACCTGCAAGGAGCCTTATGCGAGCCCTATAACTCAAGGACCCATTTACTCGCCAGATCAAAAACTTCAAGATGAGATGAGCCTCAATATACGGACCCATAAAATGGGGGGCCAAAGGCTGTAAATTTTAAGGAGCCTCCCAAAAATCCTAAGAAAAGCCTTGGAAACCACCACCAAAAGTTTGAAAGCCCCAGAATACACATGAAAACCCCTGTGCCGAGAGAGCCCGGTACCCCTGAATGAAGGAACGTGCCATAAAATATACGGGGCTTCACAGTATAGTTTAAACTACATTCCGTTACATTCCTCAATGAAGGGGTATTGAACACTCTGAAGCCTAAACCCTACACGCTGAACCCTCAACCCTAAACCCTNNAAACCCTACACCCGAAACCCCTGAACCTTAAACTCTAAACCCTGAACCCTAAACCCTTGAAGCCTAAACTCTGAACCCTCAACCCTACACTCTGAAGCTGAAGTCTAAACTCTAAACCCTGAACCCTAAACCCCTGAACCTTAAACTCTAAAGCCTGAACCCTACACTTTGAAAGCTGAACCCAAAACCCTAAACCCTGAACCCTACACTCTCAAAGCTGAACCCAAAACCCCTAGCAGCCCTGCTTTTCAGGTGCTGCCAGCCCCTCTCCGCGCCAGAGCTGCAGACCTCCGAGGTGGGTACTAAAAGGACAAGTTTTTCTTTTGCAGGGTTCCTTTAAAAAGATCGATAAGGGTCCTGTTCAAGGTTTAGGGTTTAGGGCTCCTTTTGAGGGGGATTTTTGTGGGTCTTGTAGGCGTTTATGTTTGTCTGTAGGGGTCTGCGGGGCCTTTATCGTGCTTCATAGCTTTTAGGGTTTACAAGAGTATCATTTCCGGAAACCCTGAACCCTAAACCCCAAGCCTTTTAGGGCTTTGGGAGGTTTCTTGAAGCATCATGGCAACCATGAGTCGGGGTTCCTAATATTGAGGCTCCTCTGCTTGTGGGGGCTTCCGTGAGGCCTCTCAGCAGATTCTCAGGCTTCTTTTACAGTAAGGGTTCTGTAACTTCATGTTTCAGGGTTTAGGGGGGTGTTGTGGGGGTTTGGCCCTAGACCCTAAACCCTAAACCCTAGGGCCCGTAAGAAGTATGAGAGGGGTCCTGTTTTTTTCGGAAGCTCCCATAAACAACCCTAAACCCTAAACCCTAAACCCGAAACCTTAAAACCCTAAACCCGAAACCTTAAACCCTAAACCCGAAACCCTAAGCCCTAAACCCGAAACCCTAAACCCTAAACCCTAAACACCGAGTAGCGCCGAAGACACCGAAAGCCGCGGAGGCTCCTCCACCAAAATCCTCACAGAAGGATCTCTTCAGGGTTCCTTTAAGGGTTTAGGGTTTAGGGTTTAGGGTTTAGGGTTTAGGGGTTTCTTTAAAGATTCCTTCAAGGGTTCCTTTAAGGGTTCTTGTAAGGGCTCCTTTCAGGGATCCCTTATAGTAAGCAAAAAAGTTGGAAACCGGATTAAGGACAAACAGTGCCGGGATTCCCGGCGCATTACCCGAAAGGATTGAGGCTATTGGGCTTCCAACTTTTGGGCTGCTACTTAAACCCTAAACCCTAAAACCCTAAACCCTAAACCTTCAGGATCCCCGTGGTACTTGAGAGCCTTCCTTAATCAACGGATGGTTGAGGCTATGAACCCCTATAGTCCAGTCTCAAAATCTTAGTTTGTTGAAACCCTAAACCCTAAACCCTAAACCCTAACCCCTAAACCCTAAACCCTAAACCCTAAACCCTAAACCCTAAACCCCAACCCTTAGTTAAAAGGGACCCTGAAGTCGCTAAGAAGCCCAGCCCAGAGCCCTTGTCAAGTCTTCTGGCAACGCTAGTTTCCCCAGTAGTACCCCTTTGCCCTTTTCTGCTTTGAGGGCTTAGGGTTTTGGGTTTAGGGGTTTAGGGGTTTAGGATTTAGGGTTTAGGGTTTAGGGTTTAGGGTTTAGGGTTTAGGGTTTAGGGGCCTTAATAATTCGAAGACTTAAATAGGAAAACAGGGCGCCCTTAGAATTAGAGGGCTGCTGGGGAACCTTCGAACAGTTTCATCAGATCACTCAGATCCTGTGCTGTTGGGTGGTGCTACTCTATACCCTAAACCCTATACCCTAAACGATAAACCCTAAACCCTAAACCCTAAATTCCTAAACCCTAAACCCTAAACTCAACCCCTAAACCGTTACAGAGCTTTAGACCTTTCGAGTTGAAGCCCCAAGCCTTGAAGCCAACCAGGACTCCCAAACCCTTTAATTAAGGCAGACACCTTAAGTCAGACAGAACTGGGGTCGGAATGATGGCTAAGACTATTCCTTGAGGGGTCGTCAGTAGAATTTTAGTATACAAACCCCAAAAGCCTTGTAGAAGTTCTCAAGGTCCCTCCTAAACCCTAAACCCTAAATCCCATTCTCTGGGCTTGAAAACGCAATCCCGAGCCGTGGCCTTTTCATCCTTGACCCGACGGCTTGGTCAGGCCTTAACCCTGGCTGTGGAGCAGCTGATTGCAGGCTGGATTGAGGGAGGGTTTTGGGTTTATTTGGAGTTGAGGGTGTCCCTAAACCCTAAACTCCTAAGCCTCTAAACCCCTAAGCCCTAAAACCTAGGGCGTAGGAGTTGGGGGTTTTGGGCTTTTTCGCCCTCTGAGCTGTACGCCCCAGGCCCAAGACCCAAGTTGAGGGTTTAGGGTGTCCCTTTTTTTGATTCTGGGCGATGTCTGGTCTCCGATCCAGAGACCATGAACCTTAAAAGGCCCTAAAGGTTGTTGAACATAGAACCTGTGTCACACTCTCGCGGGAATTGCAAATGCCGATGACGGCTGGAGCTCCGGCCCCAGACAGGACTTCGCCAGCTGCCCTAAACCCTAAACCCCAA